GCGAAATATCGCCATGGCAGTATGGCGGTCCACAGGAGCCACGCCGCAAAAGGCCGCCTTGACAACCTTGCATATAGCATTATGTTAGAGCTTGATCAAATCTCTCAGCAACAGGTTTTTTCTGCAATCCTAAAATTTATGTTACATAAAATTGATATATTGGTACGTTATTATACTATTGTAAAATTTTTATCATAGATTCTAGTACTTAATTTATCGCCAAACATACAATCCCAAAACCAAAATGAGTCGACTTATTTTATGAATTTCCGGCTTTAAATCATGCTTATGCTTGACTTGGAAACCTTCGTTCATTTTGCTTCTTCATGAAAGTTCTTGAGTGTCAAGATGAAATCGCATTTGCAGATAATAAAAGTGTGTTAGTTACTTACAGTTAAATTTTGGTATTAATTGTAGATGTCATTCGGTTTACGGGTATGAAAAATCGAATAAGTTTTCTCCTTCAATTTTTTCTTATTTATACTCAACACAATCACCAACTCACGGCATTTGGTATTAGAGCGAGCAAGTCCATATCCACAATGGTCAAGAATCACAATCAATGATTGAATGCATTAGAACAAAAATTCTTTAATTTTGCATAAGGACAAACTGTTTTGATCCAGGATCAAATTTAACATGTGGAGTCTTATCTAGAAACCAAGCTCGAAGCTTTCGGAGATGCAATAAAAAATGAAATCCTTGTTGCAATTACGGAACAATTGACGAATACAAATTTGTGAGGTAAATAAACTACACTTAATAATTTTTCTATTGCTATTCATAATTATGTTGATATGATGCCTAAAGGTAGAATCAAACTATTGGTACTTTGTCCTATATTCCGATAGCAAAAATGGATGAAGCACCAAGTTCACACAATAGCATAATGCCTAAGTTGGATTTTCCAGAATTTAACTGTAAAAATATTTGATTATGGATAAGAAAGTGTGGGCATTATTTCACTTACAATTATACGACTGATTATAAGTTGAGTTTAGTGGCCATGAACATAGAAGGAGTTGCAGATCATTGGTTCGTCAATTACAATGAGGATAGATCTTACTTGACTTGGGTATAATTCATCAAGTTGATTATGTAGAAAATCATGAATCCTTCAAGAGTAGTCTATAGCACAATTTAATAAAATTCAACAAACCAATATAGTACAACTGTTTACTCAAGAATTTGAGAAATTGAGGCCAAGTGGTACATTTGCTTATTAGGACTCCTAAATTACTCCATCTTGTTCCTATTCTAAATAAAAAACTAAAATATAAACAAAAGAAAAAAAAATTCCAATGAAATTGTTATCCCTTCATATTTTATTATATCTATATGTTATATACCCGAAAATAAAATTCTTCTTGTTTCCTAAGGAGACAATCCTACCCCATTTATATTGCAATGTATGACGAACATTGTCAAATTTTGGCGTTGTCACTAAGGAAATTTAACTGGCTTATTTTATCTTTGGTTGTTTCTATTATTTTTTTTTAAAAAAAAATTGACTTTTTGTAGTTTATGTCGAGATTTGGTTGCAAAGAAATCATGACTTTCAACCCTGACATTGAGAAGACTGAGTGTTGATTGAGAAAAGAAATTTGAAAGCATCTTAAAAAGTATTTAGCATCAAATCATCTAATAATTTTAGTTTCGACGAGATCGAGCTAGAAGAAGAGATGGATCAAATGGCACTAAGTAATTTCATTGGTTTCTAAATGATTTAGTTATAGTTACCGACATGCACTACTAACTAACTTTTTTCTTACTTATTCGACAATCTAGATACGCTCATTAACTACTTCCCTAATTAGACTAGAACCTGAGTGATACCATAAAGAATTTACTTGCCTAACCATAATTCCCAACTAGAAGAGCCTAATTCAATTTAAAAATTATCTATTTGAAATTGTTTAATATTGATTCTGTGATTTTCTAGGAGTGTTTACTCCTAGTTGCTAGTTAAACCAAATTAAAGCGTAATTACGAACACCTAATTTAATTCAACAAATAATTTTAATTTAATTAAAATACATGTCCACAATACATCAACTAAATAAAAGACAATTAAATATTAAAATGAGAAATCACAAGAATATTTATCAACCAATAGAATATTATACTATCAAACATAGTCAAAACTCACCACTTCATAAGAAATTATTTTTCATCCCTAAACGAAAGAAGTAATCTAGTCACTAATCACTAAAATAAATAAAATAAAAGAATAACAAAAAGGGGTAGGCATTGCCTGAGATTGACTGATAGACACGAAAAAATTCAAAAATTCCTTCAATCTTTCTCTTTCCTGCCATCTATACTATGCAATTTCTTTTCGGAACTGTTCTACACCAAATTTTGTCATATTATCACTTTAGTCCTTGCAACTCTCTTTTCTTTTCTTTTTTTTTTTTTTCCAATTTTCTCTGTTTTTTTTTTAAAATCCTGCACTTAACACAAAAAATAACATTTTAAGTAGAAATTGTCAAAACAAGTATTCAAGATCGTGTTTCGAAGTTGGCCAATAATTTTGAATTATCGGTAGACTCCACTAAATTTAATTTAATGAGTGGACCAAAACCTGCACAATGATAATTAGACAGAGCTATAAATAGTCAAATCTAATCCCCAAAGAAGCTTGCAATACAGGTCAATTGATTATCTGACTAACTATTGTTATTGCAAAAAATATAACGGTACATCAATATACGTATGTATAAGATATAACATCCACAAATCACGAGTAATGAAGAACTAAGTTGAATCACATCCATACCGAGTCCCAACAAAGCAGCACAGTGCTTCCCGTATTTCTTATTGAACTGTATCGCTACAATTATCAATCTATTGAAACCATATTTCAATAAATTGAAATATAAACAGTTTCATTGGAACAAAAATGCTAGGGAATTAAAATATCAAAACATATAAGAACTAATGAACTAGCGTTGCCTTTAGAAAAAATAAAAAAAGATCGTTTATTCAAATATACCAACTCACATATATGAATCTATTTTCTTATTGTATTGTTCAAAAATAACCATATGTTGTAAAGTGACGTCTTGTTATGCATAGTAGCAATCTAAGGATTTTTTAGGGGAAAAAACATTAGAAATATGAAGATTTACTTACTTGATGCTCTCCAACGACAATATAAATATGTGGAACAGTCTATTAGACCAGTGACATGAACCCGATATCTCTTCAGGGGAATGCGTTCCATAAGCTAAAGTCAACTAAGGAATTCATTGTTGGAGTATTATGTAGTTATAGAAATCAATGGGATGGAGGAATTGTTAGTGATTTTAGTGAAATCGGTGGGAGGAAGGAACTGTTAGTTATTTTAGTGTAATTGGATTTATTCGAGACCAATGGACGTCGGGATTAAGTGAACTTCGGGATGACATTCGTGGAGTGCGCATTAGAAGAAGCTATTTTCGATATGATTTTGACAAATAACACAAATTATGGGACAAATTGTTGATATAGCCTTACTCATTGGTATGTACAAGTCTGAAAGTTTTGTAATTAAATTTACTAGACAGAACGTAATAATTGCATGACTATTCTGGATTTTTTCTAGACTTTTAATTTAAAAAATTGTGTTTATTTATGAATTGATGTGTCTAATTTAAATTATGAATTCAAAACTTTTGCTTGAATTGAATCAACCCATCAAATCATTTTGAAGTCAAATTAATATTTGAATTGAAACAACACATCGTTTGATTTTGAACTTGGAATTTAAATTGTATGTTTGTTCAATTTAAATGCAAGGTTACTTTAAATAGATGGTATTGGTCTTATTTGCAACCTAACAAAAATTTATAGATTATAGCTTCTATACCCATTTTATTCTCAACATTCATTTTATCTCAATATTTTCTACAAATTCGAGATCGAATGTTGTATTGTCACAATATGAATTTGCGTAACCCTTGATAAGAATTAAATAAAAACATCGTATTCGAAAAATGAACTCATCACAATACAATGTTATATAGAGCAATTTTTGTTATTATCAGAATAAAATACCCAACATTTCAGAGTCGTCAAAATCATCAAATATTGGAACTGTTGCATGGTTCCTAGTAAAGAAGGAATCTGCCGGCGTTAGGTAACGTAATGCGATGCGATGCGATGCGACAGTAAATTTGAACTAAAAGGCTTGCCTCGCCATTGAATGGTTCCTGAACTAAAAATCATAACAGAATATTGAAAGCTCGTCCAGAAAGTAGTAACATTTGATCATACACCATGATGTGATTGATATCACACTCCTCCAAAAATCAACAGACAAGATGTATGATTGCCGAACCTTGGAATGAACTACAAGCGAAGGGAAGGGTGGTGAGGAGGCTCGGTCTTCCGCATAATTTGATGGAGCTCTTATTCCCGGAATTTTCCAATCAGTTAAATAAGTCTTTCATCCGCGGAGTATTCTGGCCATGTGGTTCATTTATAGAGCCAAAGTCTGTAAATTTAATCATTTATCATTTCTCAAAGATGGATTGTTCACCCCATGAAACCATTGCAATCTGCGAGGGTGGATGTGGCTTATTTCACTCACGAGTCACATTTCTTAAGCCAGGATCTATGTCACCAATCAATCACAGCAGCTATGGACGACAAATGAGTGTTGGTTGATTAACTCTAAATAGTTGGTCAATATTAGAGTACAACAGTAGTACTTGTTGAATATTGTCTCACATTATTAATTTGTTAATATGTGTGAGAATTCTCTTACTATATAAGTCACTCTATCCATCACCAATTGATTTTAGATTGAAAACCCGAATATTTTCTTAATATGGTATTAGAGCCAGGTGGCTGTATTGGGTGTTGATTCGATACGAATTTTTGAGATTATTATCTCGAGAGAGAGTGTTGAATATTATCCACATTCATTAGTACAAAAAATTCCCCTATTATATAAGGGCGAAGAACCACTTCACCTATCACCGATTAAGATTGAAAGCCGGATTCCTTCTTAATAGTACTCAAGATGGGGTTTCACTGCACCCTTGGCCAAGTCAACTTAAAAAACTGAGACTGAGAGTAAGCTTCTTTCTTCTGCTCTTTCTCTCTCGCACACGATCAATTATCAATATTCGATCCGTCCCACCAGCTCCGATCAGATCAGATCAATGAAGCTCCAGAGTCAAACAGTCTTCTTCATGTTCTGGTTCTTGCTGGCAACAGCTTCCGCAGGTAACAAACAAGCAAATCCACTGTCGATTTCCTTCTCACACTAACAAGTAACAACAGTAAAAACCAATTCATCGTCCTCAGACATTCTGCAGAACCCAGATTTCGAGCGCCCGCCGTCGAACTGGAGAGCAACCTCCACAGCCCAATTCTTCCCATTAGACGAAAACAGCACCACGCTGCCTGGATGGACATTCCTGGGCAAAGTTGAGTATGTAACTGCGGGATCCAATCTAAGTCTTCCCCGGAATGGCCACGCCATCCTGCTTGCTGACGAAGGCAAAATCAACCAAACATTTACAGCCAGTGGAGAGCGAGCGCAGTATATTCTGACATTCGCCGTGGCCAGGGGAATCCAGGACTGCTCTACCAATGCTAGCCTCGTGGTGTCTGCGCCCGACTCCACTGTGGAGTTCTCGGTGTCGGGCAAGTATGGGAAACAACCTTGGCAAGTATACGGGCACTACATTGGAAGCTGGGGAGATGGCGAATCTGTGAACTTAGTCATCCAAAGTCAGGCTGTAGATTCAGAATCCAACTCCACGTGTTGGCCTGTGGTCGGCGATCTTTCCCTGCTCGCCATTACATCCTCATCAATTAAGGTCAAGGATAAAGGTAAGTATCTTCAAATTTATCCCTCTTTCCTGTCGTTTCAAACTGCTTCACACTCCCTAGCTTCGTGTAATGGAAGTAACAGATAATCTGCTCCAAAATGGCGGCTTCGAGCTGGGACCTGCATTCCTCGAATCCTCCAATGAAGGAGTTTTAATGGATTCAGAACCAAGCCTGACTGAATCTGCTCTAGAGCAATGGACAATACTCGGAACTGTGAAGTACGTAGATGCAAAGAATTTCTTTGTTCCGGAAGGCAAAGCTGCTGTTGAGATCTTGGGAGCCTCAGCTGGTGTACAAACAGCAAAACAACTAACCCGGGGGTCTGAATATAACTTACAATTCATGCTGGGGGATGCAAATGATTCCTGTTCCGGCGATTTCGTCGTGGGAGTTGCTGCTGGATCTTCAGCTCAGAATTTCACTGTTCACAGTAATGGAACAGGGTCAGCCAAGAAATACTCGTTAAAATTCAAGGGTGATGGAGAGAGTACAACCTCGATAAGCTTCCAGGGTTACACGACTAGCCAGCGAAAAGACGGCGTTTTCTGCGGACCAATGGTCGATGCCGTCGTCTTGACTGAATCAAGGGGGTGCAGGTGCAAACCAAAGATGGGCAGTGTTTTGGTTGGTTTGCTCCTCGTAGCATTGTTTAAATTGTTTGAGCTTATATGATCATGTATCTGTGATTCAGCCGAGAATTTTTTTTTTTTTGCTCTTCTGTGGTTTGTGCCAAAGCAAAGAACACAAACTGGATTACAAACAACTCCATGTATGATTCGATTTGGTAGAGCACAAAACAGCAGGGCACGCCCCTGATGATTATTATTATAACAAGATGAGCAATGCTCAGCCAGTTTTCTTACAAGGATTACAGGGTTAATACACACAAAGCTACTATATTTATTTGGCTAGACAAGCCAGCCGATCTCACCACTCTAATATATCTCGCTGCCAGGATAGCAATCCCAAGCTGTTGCCCCCCAAGGAACATCCGAGAAAGGCACACAACTGATGTTTCACATACAAAACTAGAGAGCAACAGAGACGCGCATCACTACTTGTATAATCACGCCAAGGTGTTTTTTACCGCAACAGCTTTTAGACACCAGCTTGTTCACAAAGATCTAGCAAGTCCAGTGTCTGAAATATACATATAAACAAAGTTAGGAGCTCCGAGATATAGAAAAACTGGTAAGAAAGAACACGGCTAGGGGTTAGACTAACCTCAGGTACAGAGAGTTCAAGACGAAATTTGGGACCATCATAGTGATGCAAAACTGGTCTAAAAGCATCTTCTTCTAGAGGCTTGCACATTTTCCTAACTTGAATTCTCACCTAGTTGAAAGTAACACGTGGAAAGTAAACACCAACCCATATGAACAAGCAGTGGCTGGGTTCATTTCAGTTAAGGTACCTGAGCAGGAAACCTTGATTCACCTTTGCATTTTTTATCTTCCCAAGCAGTGGGATCAATATTGGTTCCCCCAAATGTTGTTGCCTGTGCAAGCAGATTGCATTACAAACAAATCAAGGCAAGTTTATTATGGCAAAGATGCTACCATGAAGAAATTCTTATCGAGGATTTAAATCTATCAATCCAAACGAACCATAAAAGACTATTACCACATACCTCAAAGATGCCGTACAATTGGTGAGTAGTGTAATTATACAGGAAAAGAGGTAAACCGGGTGTTATCGCCCTCACAGAGTCTCTATATCTTGGTGGCAAACCTACAAGAGAACACAAATATGAAACCATGTAACCAGATTCACATAATGTAACTTAAGCAAGAAGGTAAAAAAATTTGTATGAAAAGAAACCCTTCAACCTGCAAGATTCTTTTATAAATTGAACCAATGTGCTAAATTACAGCACATAAAAAATCATATAGTTACCAAACAGTTGTCTCTTCAAATCCTCCTGCATTGTGTCATTGTTGCAGACAAATATATATCCACCAAGAACCTCATTTCTGGGAAGCGTTTCTGTGGCAGGTAATGTCTTAAACCGTTTGTCAATTCCATTTGTTTCCTCCTTGTTAACAGTGTTGGTATTGCTGCTGTTCGACTCCTTGATGTGATTTGTATTGTTATATCTGCTTCCAGTAATATATCCCATAGAGTTGACGTTCAGATTCTGGTAAATAGCATTCGCATTGTTAATACCATTCCTAAGGGAGCCTTTGTTTACACTTTCATTCAACTTCGTCTCCAAGTTTAACATGTTCAAGGTAAAGCTTTCAAAATTGTTGTTATCTTCCTGAAACCCAAAATTTTCCCTGGGCCTCATTTCTGCAGAACCCTTTGAGAGATCTAAGTTGATTCTTCGCTCGGGTTTGTACCTAGTCTGCTCCGCCAATCTTGAAGCGGCAGCAAACCATTCTTGCTCCTCAGTAGCTTTTGACTGGACTCTGAGTTCATCACCCAACTGCCAAAAGCTGCGAGTGCTCTCCATGCTGGGAAACCTAGATATGATATAACAACAAATCTTTGTTGGATATATTTCCTAGAGAGACAACACTAATAGAAACATGGCACCTAATCTTAAATTCACTTTTGAACAAATCAAGAAGTAACATAAATCCCCGGGAAACAGAAGCTTCATGGTTCACATGATACATTCTAACAAGTACACCAATAAAAAACAGGTTTAGCCTTTTCAAGATCGATAAAGGAGCATCTTAAATTTGGATGTAACCGTGATGGGAAATGCTCTTAAAATGGAACTTAAACTTGAAAAGATAAAGAAGAAAAAATCAAGTATAAACGCAATGAAGAAATTACCTAAAGTGTTTAAATTTCTAGACATGTTAGGTGTAAAGCTACGTCGAGGTAAAACGTGAGATAGTCAAATGGGAGGGAGCAATGCTGATGGAATTGATATCCACAAACAACAAATTGCAAGTGCATAAGCAGACACGTTACGAAATAGCAAATTTCACCAAACAAGCAAGCATAATTATAACAAAATTAAAAACCTTTCTTAGCTGGAGAAAGAAATGAATCGATTAAAATATGAACAGATCAGTTGAAGAATAACAGTTTTAGATTAGAAGTAGAACCTGGGATCCAAAGCTCAAACCTAAATCCAGTAAGAGAGTAGAGAGAGATGTAAAGTCGGACCTTTTATCTCCACGTCTCCGGAATGCCGAAAGGTGCAACAGAGGAGGAACAAAGCCAGATTTTTCGCCGTTTATACCGACGACTTCAGCTCAATGCCCCTCAACTTTTGCGTTATTTACACAATGCCACTGATCCACACATGCTCTCTCTAGTGAGAAGCGGGAGCGCGCGGTGGAGGAGCTTTATCATTTATCAAGATCCAATCGCGTGTGGACCGTCGGATCAACGATTACCCTTGTACGCTGGTTGCACATTTGATGCGATATTGAATTCGATGGTAAAAATATATTCCCTCCCTTCTTCTACCGGAATTCAACTTTTCTTTTTTTTTTTTTTTTTTATTTTTTATTAGGGACACGGTATTTATTAATAATTAATAATATTTATAATTTTAAAGTAAATTTAATATATATAATTAACAAAATTAAAATAAATATTTAAATATTTAAAAATTATATAACAATTAAAAAATTGTATGATATCATTTTATATAAAAAATAAAATTTTCTATTACAAATAAATAAAAAAATATTTTTATTTATTTATAATTAACATAAATCAATTTTATAAAAAATTGTATAGTTTTAAATATAGATAAAAATATTTATTTTTTAAAAAAAAAATGTAAAAATAAAGGAGTGTTTTTATATACTATTTAAATAAATACAATTATTTAATGGTAGTATAATCATTCTAAAGTTGAAAAATACTGTGCATAATAGTTTGAAATCCAACTGAAGATCACGAAAGACTATGGAAATGAATCAATCAAGACTCCATTTAGATTAGAGGCAAAAAATTAGCATGTATTGTGATATTTTTTACGGACAATTGGTCTGCCCTCCCTACAGGTAGTGTTCAATTATAATTCAGTCCCTATTTTAAAATAATTGGTCTGCACTCCCTCCTTTACATATTTAGTTTAATATTAGTCCCTGTTTTAGATTTTCTCAAATAAAAATTGAATGTACCTCTAGAATATCTTTAAATGCTTCCAAATTTATTTTATATACTTACAACACATTCTGTTTAAATTTGTCCACGTAGCTCCGAATCTTCGGTTTACCAGTTTTCGAACCTCTTGTTACGGTTTATATATTTGTCAAAGTGCAAACTGCTAGTTCAAATCGCCGGTTTACGGTTTCAACCGACGGTTCGGCCATTATTTTTTTTTTTTTAATTTTAAACTTGCACGCCGGCTGCGATTGTGGATTATAGAATGTTATGGGCGGGCGGCGACAGTGAAGAAGAAGCAGGAGGAAAAAAAAAAAAAAAAATGAAAAAGAAGAAAATACAAAAAAAAACAAGAAAACAAAAAACGTACCCTTGCAACTATAGCTGCGGTGGAATGTGGAGAATGGATGTTCAGAGCTAAAATTGTATATTATATACTTATAATTAAAATTACTATATATCATTAAATTGTTATAAAAATAAAGATAATATTAATATTAATAAAAATAAATAATTATTAATTATATAATAATAATATACATTATTTTGGTTATTTATATTTTAAATTTTGTATTTCTTATCATACAATTATATTTAATTGAAACTATCTTATTATCTAATACACATCAATTTCTTAAAATTTAATTTTGTTTATTTCAATTTAAAATTTAATTTGATTTAATTACTTAGTAAATTTATTATTTTAATTACTTTTATATTGTAACAATCTTAGCAATTATTATTTATATGATTTTACATAATAAATAAATAATAAATATATCTGAATGAAATTAAAATTGAAAATAATATTTTTGAATAAATTTTTAAATTTAGAAAAACTTAAAAAGGAAAAAAAATATTAAAAATAAATGTACATAAATCGGCGGTTCAAACAGTAACCGTCAGTTTTTTAAACCGCAATCGAAACTGTCATTCAGAAGGTTCGGTTTCGGTTTGACATTTTCATAAACCGTAACCGACGGTTTGAACTGTTTTGGTGTACCTGATATAACCAGGTTGGAGGTACAACATAGCTGCTCTAGAATACTCACCTGCTTAGCCGAGTCATACCTTATGCTTAGATGCCCTTGACCAAAAATTGTTGTGTGCGCTACGGTGTGAATTAATGTGTAATAGATCTAAATATTTTCAATTTTTGATAGCAAATATGTACTCTAATGACCAATATAATTCAATTTAGTCGCTTATGACTTTATTAGATATCTACTAGTTGAGGTTGGACTATAATAGTACATATATCATTCAACCTATCTAAGTCATTTTTTACTTGGTTAACCATTCATAATAAATGTGTTGTTTACCTTTTTCTGACAATTTGAGGTGTCACAGGAAGACTATGATAATGAACGCATCCTTAGTTACCGTCAACAAATAAATATTTTGAACAAAAAATTATTGTTCTCCAACCACATGTTATTGGAGCATATATACTCTTTATTGAAGCATATGAGACTATTATTATAAGTAGTTAAGATCTGCGCTAGGGTATGTCGATATTTTATGTAGGTACATAAGAATGTGATCTGGGTACAAACACCTACATGCGAGGTATAAATAATAGTTTCTTAGGTATTATTTGTGTATTATCGGGTATCTTCAAGTGTAGTTAATTTCAGTCATTTCCATGGAAATGTGTCAATTCGCGTATTCGGTGAGAACACTTCCCCTCTCGGTCTTGGTGAACTAAATGTTGTTGTGTGTGCTATGCTGTGGATTACTACGTAATATGTCTAAAAAACAATCAATTTGTGAGAGTAGTGATACATGAGTAACAACCAACAAACTTATCAACCTCATTTCTTACTTTTTTTAGCCATCTATAGTAAACATGTGTTCTTTTCTTTACTTACATGTCAGGGAGTCGTGAGAACACAATAATGATGAATTTATCTCAGGTTACTAAGAGCAATTGAATATGTTGAACCAAACACGGTCAATTTTTCCAACCATATATAACCAGAGCATATATACGCGTTAGCGGAGCATATGACTTTATATTACAAGTACATAAAAATTGGTATATGCATGAGTGTTTAGGATGTGTGTTTGAATGTTATAATTAGAATTGTTGAATAAGAAAAAAAAAATTTGACTCTATTTATTTTTATTAGTTCTTTTAAAAAATTAAATTTATTTTTTAATAAAATTATATTTATAATTATTTTATTTTCACATTTTAAAATAAAAAACTAATAACATTAGTAAAGATTTAAAAAAAATTATACAAAATTGTGACATATATATTTAATATAAATATTTTGATAGAAAAGATTATTTAATTTTATTTTCTTGTAAATTTTATTTTCTATAGAATAAGGATTTGTTTGTTTTTTTTGTAAAAGATTTCAACATATTTTTCTACAAAAATAATATATTACACGCACTCATTATATTTATATTATCTACACATTTATATATATATATACATAGTAAGTATTTAAAATACATAGAATACTATACATAAATTTTATTACTAGTATTAATATTTTAAAAAATTGTATCTTATATATACGATTTTAAATATTTAATAGAATAATTATATATATATAGATAAATAGATATTTTGCTAATATTATACTGAATCATATAATAAAGTTTATATTATGTATAATATTTACATAATATTTTATATTATATTAAATATAATTATGAATTTTGTATAAAAATAATATAAATTATTAATATCAAATTTTCTCATTTTATAAGTAGAATTAAAAGAGTAAGTAAACTAATATTGATAAAATGAAATATATAATTATGGTTGATTGTGCACCTTTTTTTTCTCGCCAACATTTTTATATCATTGTCTTTTTCGGAAGATATTAATTTATATACTCCATTTATTGACAAGATTAATTTATTTTTGTGCCAAATTTATTATGACTCTATTTATGCACGTAATATTTGTACGATATCTTCCATTTTAAGCAGATTTTTGCATTAATGGTTGATATTTATTACAAAAATTAACATATGTGCATAATTAAATACCGTATATTTATTTTATTGAGATTTTATTTTCTTTCAAAATACACGATATTTAATTTAATTTAGGCATTTAATTTTTAATGCCTATATCTACAAATATCCTATTCGTGTCCACCCCTGTGCCAAATTGATTGTTATTTCTTAAAGTGAGATAATAAAATTTTGAGTGAATAAAATTGTTTAGTATAAATGAATTATATATAAGTTTAACGAAAAAAAAAAAAAAAAAAAAAGGCTGAAAGGAGTAATACTTCTAAAAAATTATACAATTTGATTTTAATGGATAATAAGATAATTTCTTAACTATTAATATGAAAAAAATATTAAAATATAAATAATCACATTTATAAATACTGATAAGAAATAATATATACTCATATAAAAATATAATAAATAAAATATAAACATAAATTATTCAGGAAAAATTTTAAATTTTAAATTATTAAAATTTGTTGAATAAAATAATTAATTTTTATGGAAAAAATAAAAAAGAGTAAAAAAACACTATAAAGAATACAAAAATAGAAGAAAAAATAAATATAAAATATAAATTGCATATAAAGTGTTTAATATAGAACAATTATCTGCACTCGTCAATCGTGACTAGAATGTAAAAAATATATAATATTTTATAATATACATAATATATTTTGTCAGTCAAATAAATAATAGACAAATTTGATAATTAAATATATAAAGAATATATTTTGCAATTTTTTTTTATTTTCTACATCACCCCACAGTAAAATATGATTTTAATTATTATTTTTATTTATTTATTTTTTAAAGATACATAAGTAAATGTACGCATAATGTAAATAGAGGTATATAGGTGGAATAGTTAATAAAGTGAAAAATAATATAAGTAAAGCGAGACAATTATAAGTATATAAAATAGCATTAAGAGTATTTAGATATACTACAGAAGTACATCAAATTTATACTATATAGATAAAAAGAAAAATATAAAATAATGACTAATGTTAAATTAAATAAGTAAAGGAGGGAGTGAAAATCAATTTTTTTATAACAGGGACTGAATTATAACTTAATAGAACTGACAGGGTGGACAGACCAACTTTCCCTATTTTTTATAAGATAAAAAATCTATATTTAATAAAATATTTATTATAAATTTAATAATAACAAAATTATAAAAA